AACAGCAGGAAGGATTGTGCCAGCCAGGGACCAGCAAATAGGCTCAGGATGACCAGATGGCAATAGTAAGCATAAAAAAAAAACCACAGGAAGTGGAGCTCTTCGTGCCTACAGGAAACAGGGGGAGGACATGGAGTAAGCACAGGTTGGGTGTGACATGTTCTATGTAATGTGAGGCATAATCTCTGAGTCATGGAAGACTTTGCAAACAGGAATGAGAACGCCGGCACAGCTCCCAACTGCAGTGAATATTGAAGCTGGAAGATGTAAATGCCTACAGTTTGCAAAGAGAGAAAATAAAACGAGTTCTCAACATGAGATGAATACATTTGTTACATAATTTAGAGTCTTGCTAGGTCAACAAACTTGAGGTTTCAGTGGATGATGACGCTGCAAAGTAAGGTGTCTGAAATCAGAATTGCTTCCCTTGACAAAACCAGGAAACATGATCTACCTGAACATAACTCCCCACGGGAACTACCCTGTGTTACTATTTCTCCATTCTGGAGTGTGATAGGACCTAATACATGCTGAGTGAATTTGTCAAAGAATTCAAAACCGAACTCTGGCACCTGACCTCTACTAAGTCTCTGCCTGAGAAACGCCATGTACATGTGAACCACCTGGTCATTTTCCACAGGATAATTCTTGGCCCCTGAAACTTAGTCACCATAGTTCACATAAACTTGAAGCTCAGGCTAGCCTTCTTCATCTGTTAGTTAGGTAACTTGGGGGCATTCATTTGTTTCTTCATTTGTTTCTTCGGGCACTGATCCCAATGAAATGACGATTAAAGCTAACTCACCAAGCACTGAGCACCAAGTGGTGTGGACGTAGATGAACCATTTTCCCCCAAAGGTTCATCTTTCAGGAGCTTAGTCTGGGTGTGACAATGCTGAGAGGTGACTGAATCATTCAGTGATAGAGCCTGACTGGAGATAAGTAAGCCACTAAATGCCTTACCCTTGACAGAAATTAATGTAGTCCTCACATTAGTTCCCAGGAGAACAAACCGCTGTAGAGGAGTCCAGCCTGTATTTTCCCTTCTTTCGTCCAATGGTTAGTTCTCTTTCTGTCCCTGCTGTGTTATAATATAGCCCGAGAGACCTTGATGAAATGGAGGCCTGCAGCCACCAGAATTGGGAACTCGGTAAACCTCTTTACTTCCTGGGTATTTTGCTATAACAATAGAATTGGATTTAAACAAGCAAAGGCTCCCAAAAGTCTCCCATGAGTGTAGGGCTGCTCTCATCACCTAGTACTGATGGAGAGCTTGAGATAAGATAGTGACAGCTTGCACCTTCCACCTTCAAGTGCAAGTCTTCGACGTTACTCCCACTGCCTACCAACAATGATACCTCCCTCAATGACTGCTTAAAACACATTAGTGAAAATAATCTGTGGAAAAACACCTTGATGAGGCTTGGGCTGAGTTGGTGGAGTTTTCTAAACATGAAGAACTGTTCTTAGCTTCTTGTGTTTTGTTTCCTGTAATGCACATGCTACAAAATAAAAGCTTCTTTTAAAAGCTTAAAAAAAAAGAAAGTGGCCCCCAGCATCATATAAACTGAGTGTGATAGCACATGCCAGTGTCACAAATTTAAAGTCATTCTTGGCTATACAATGAGTATGAGGCCAGCCTGCCATTTTTGAAGCCCTATCTCAAAAATATAAACAATAGCTTGTAAAGGTGCCCTACTATAGTGAGTACCAGACAAATGTTAGCTTTTGTTTTTGATTATTTTATTATGTATGCTTTCCTAGGCAGTTGTGTGTTTATTTGACAAAGAAGCCACTGTATCTGAAAGGGAATTAGATTATTCCCTTTGGACATCTCTAACTGGGAACATTCCCTGTCTACTGATGAAGACTTTTTGTTCTGTTCCTGTGATTCTGACAATAATTTCTGGTCCAACTATGGAATCAAATGAAAGCAACCCTGCTTCCTTACAACAGCTCTGCTATGTTTAAAGATGAGTGTCTTCTCCCCTCTAGACCATGTGGGCCACCTTAGCCATTTGTCCTTTAGAACTGTCTCCAGGCATGCTGCCTAAGTCCACCTTGTTGAAGACATCTTTGCTGCACTTGGGCATTCAGAAAAAGCAAAATTCTGTCATTCACACATGATCTACTGGCATCTATAGAACAGGGCATTCAAAGAGACAGACACAGGACAGCCCCACCATTGTCTGATTACATTCCCAGGTGTTGTAGTGTCTTCTTGTGTGGAGGAGTTGTCTGTAGAGTGAATGAATGCACAGTGAATACCAAGCTTGCTATTGGCTTCTCTATTTTGTTCACTACTTTTGCTTCTAGACTTCTGAACTTGGTCTAGACACATAAGACTCTACACTAGCTTCTTAGGAACTGGCCAGCATTCCAGCATCTTTACATGTCTTGGGATGTTAATTTTTTTCATTTTACATATTGTGTCATCTCCTTCCCCACAACATGTCATTTTCCCCCTATTCCATCAATAAATACTCATCTGAGTATTTAAATTGGATATATTAAACTCATAGGCATTAAAATATTCATAAGAGCTTATGGCTTAAAGTACTTTAATTAATTATGAATCAATTACATCTCTACAGCGCCTTTCATTATTGTCACTAGAATACCTATTTGTCTGCTCAACAATTGCTGAAATATAATATCATTTTCTTCCTATATATTACTGAAAGTGGATGTATTAAAACAAGGCTTTAAATTTTTATGGGCATTTTAAATAGATTGATTCTGAAACAAAACAGAGAAGAATAAAATTGATGTAACCTTGAAACAGGCTCACCCTATGGAGGTGACCTTTCTGTCTCCAAAGAAATTAACTGAAGTGGTTAGACAATCTCAAGGCATGTTGCACATTGCAACTGAGAGGATCATAAGTAGGCTTTTCATCAAGTGCTGAGCAATTTCAGTCATCCAATTTTGTGTATCGGGGTTTCAAACGAGTGCTATGAAACTCATGAATAAAACATTTGCCACTTGTGAGAGCCAAAGGGCTTGTAATAAAGCAAGTATGTTGTTAAATAAAAGATTTAAATAAAAGTAGAAGAAAGTTTCTTAATCCGAAGCTTAGGCTTCCTTTGTGAGTTGCAGATTTTAGATGTTACACAACAAAACTGAAATAGTAAATAAGGAAAAACAATTTAAGGGCCAATGATCTGGAAATGCAGGGGAAACAAAACCATTAATTTAAAATACGTCTAGTGAATTTTGAGGTTGGGATAGAATTTCCAACATTTGTTTAAAAAACAATTTTCTGTGTGGTGCATGTAAAGCCACATTCTTTTTTATATATAAACTTTATTTGAATTAGAAACAATCTCCCAGGTGTTGGTGGTACACACCTTTAATCCCAGCACTCGGGAGGCAGAGACAGGTGGATCTCTGTGAGTTTGAAGCCAGCCTGGTCTACAGAGCAAGTTCCAGTACAGGTTCCAAAGAAATACAGAGAAATCAAGTCTCAAAAACAACAAAAAAAACCTTATTTTACATATCAATCCTAGTTCTCTCTCACTCCCATCTTCCCATACCTCCCACAAACATCCCCCCCATCCATTCCCCAGGGAAGGTGAGGTCTTCCATGAGGGATCATCAAAATCTGTCAAGTCATTTGGGGCAGGGCCTAGGCTGTCCCCTGTGTATCTAGGCTAAGAGGGTATCCCTCCATGGGAAATGGACTCCTGAAGTCCGTTGGTGCACTAAGGATACATCCTGGTTCCACTGTCCAAGGCCCCATAGACTGCCCAGTGCTCCTAGCTGACACCCACGTTCAAGGGGCCTGGTTTGGTCCTATGTTGGTTCCCCAGCTGTCAGATTGGGGTCCATGAGTTCCCACTTGCTCAGGTCAGCTGCTTCTGTGGGTTTTCCCAGCCTGGTCTTGACCTCTTTGTTCATCATTCCTCCCTCTCTGAAAGTGGGTTCCTGGAGTTCGGCTCAGTGCTTAGCTGTGGGTCTCTGGTAAAGCCACATTCTTAGCATTGTTGTAAGGTCAAAATGTCAGTCAGTTCTGAAAAAAAGAAAAAAAAAACGTTGAGGATGTTCTACAGTATCACATATCTGGAAGTCTAATTCTTTATGTTAAAATAAGTATATTTCTGTTGTTATACACATTTGCTTTTGTCTTTACTAAATCCTAAAATCGTGTGTGTACCTAGAAAGGTTTTAAAACATTGTCACCTAGGTGTCTCAGGCAAACCATGTCTGACCTAGATAGAGAAGTGACCCACAGAGGTCACACTCCAAGCAGCAGTTTTCCGGTGGCAAATATGAAGAGACAGGAAATCAAAGGCTCAAATTCTGACTATCATGTCCCAGTTCTACAGTGCTGTGTGCCCACAGGCATTTGTGCGAGGCACTCAGACACACAAAGCAAGAATCTATTGTGCACAAAAAGCCACAGAGAAGGTACAGAGTTGCAGAACAGCAGTGCCTTTGGCTTTCAAATGCCGATGTCACTTTGGCTGGAGAGATGGCTCAGCAATTAAGAGTGCTGCCTGTTCTTTCAGAGGACCCGGGTTCAATTGCCGTCATCCACGCCGAGTCTCATAGCTGTCTGCAACCCGGTTCCGGGTCCAGGCATTCTAGTCTCCAGGGGTACTACATACATGTGGCACACAGACACACGGGCAGGTAGACCATCCATACTCGAGAAGAATAAATAAAAGTTAAAACTTTTAAAAGAAAAAAAACCTACCGAGTAATTAAATCACAGTCAATAATATGGAAGATAACTGGACTGTGTTAAAGAAATATGTCAATATTCCTGCGTAATAGGTCTTAATTTTTCTAATGGTTATGATAGAGTCCAGGTAATTCTAGGTCCGCTGTCCCTGGGTTTTTTTTTTTTTTTGGAGGTCTGTTATACTTGTAAAATTTTTTTTATCAATAATAGATTCCTAAACAAAAGCTCCAAGATTAAAGAAATGGCATTTAATGTGATCAGGGAAAACTGATTTGGTGTGTCTCTCCTCTCTTTGTTTCTGCCTCTCACCCAGCCTGAAGTTCTGGATCAAATACAGAATTTGAGGGAGCTATGGATGGATAACAATGCATTGCAAGTGCTGCCTGGGGTACGTAAGCTCTGCCGTGACGTGTGTTCTGACTTGCTGCGGGCTGGTTATGTCTTTAATCATTAATCCTCAGTGCTTGGAAAAGAAAAATTAACACTTTTTGGGCTTCAGCCACCAAGTGCTTCTCATGAAATTGTTTTTAATGTTCTGTGTCTTTTGTGAGTTGCGGATAAGAGGAAAGCGGAGAGTTCTCTGGGTGTCCCTTATCCTACCCACTGGATTTTAAAAGCTGATAAGTTTGTAGTTCGATTTTTAACACACGGCTTTGCTCTACCAAAGCAACCTTATTCTCCCAGGTGACTGCACAGATGTCTTTCCCCTGCTGTCAACAGCCATCCCACAAAGGGAAATGGCCTTCCCTGCTTGCCTCTAGTCCGGTAGAACCCACTTACACATTTGAAAATCACAAGGGTTGCACAGCACCCAGTACAAGCTGAACCAGAGTCAGGTTTCCCTTCTGTGAAGGGGTGGTTCCATGACCCTTCCTGGAACAGATTCGACTGCTGACTTCTGCAGGTTAGACTGCTGCTGAAGTTCCTGAGAGCAGCTCCTGAGAAGATGACTTCCAATAACAGCCTTGCTGTTCGTGGCCACTAACTAGAACTGTGCAAGTGTGCTCACACATCCAACAGACCAAGCCCCTCTCCCCCCTTACAGGCCTTTCCCGGCCACCTCCACACATATGTCACTGGACTAAGACACATGCAGGGAGTCATTGTTCCAGCCAAGGCAGAGGTTTCGATATTTCCTCAAAAGCAAATTTTGCTCTTCTTTTGAATTTCCTTTAAATTACTACAAAGGCAGCCTGTGCATGACCTTTGTTCTCTGTGACCAAACATGAGGCTGTAGAAAAGGGGACATCTGGAAAAAATAAAGATTAAGGAAAAAACATTTTTTCATTAATTTTGAAAGGGTTACATCTATAGCATCACAGACACAGACCAGGAAGTCTATACATCATGTGCTTATTGATGCATACAAAACTCTTTGCCAGTAGGACCAGAAACAGTGCCTGTGTCAGAGTCACAGAGACCATATGGTCAACTCCCTCAAGTATGTTGTTTGGGAGACTCACATAATAGTAATTACAGAAATGAAAATGTATGAATCTAAGTGGTTTGTTATTTCTATTTATTTATTTTTGGTTTGTTTTCTATTGGGTTTGTTTTTGCTTGTTTGGTTGGTTTTTGCTTGTTTATTTTAGACAAAAGTTCCTCTATGTAGCCCCGGCTATTGTGGAACTAGCTCTGTAGATGGCCTCAAACTCAGAGATTCGCCTGCCTTTGCCTCCCAAGTTCTGAGATGAAAGGTGGGCACAGCCATGCCTGGCTTAAGGAGTTTTTTTTATAGTCTATTGTTCTAATATTTCATTGCTAGCTGTTGTTTTTCACTTGATTGATTTTATCACAGGTAAATAGTGAGAGAGAGCCACTGTCTGTACAGGACTGAGTCACAAGCACAGTTTCAGACATCCACAGAATATCTTAGAACCCTGGAGAATGCAGATAAAACACCTCTTAATTCCTGAGCAGAATGGAAAACTCAGAATGATACCTAGATGCAAGCTTGCACCAGCTTTGTGAATATACTTATTTACTCAAACCCACCTAACGTTGCATATACTGTGCCAGACACTGCCTAGCTGGCTTATAAATATTCACTCTTCAGGTCCTCAAAGAAACCCTGAGTAGGTTCTGTGCAGCCCAAATTCCCAGAGCCAGTAAGCTCTGGGGTTGCAAACCAAAGCAGTTGCTTCCGTACAGCAATGTCTGACCTCACAGTGTGTGTGTGTGTGTGTGTGTGTGTGTGTGTGTGTGTGTGTGTGTGTGTGTGTGTGTGTGTGTGTGTGTGTTCTCCGGAACCTGTAGAAGGTACAGGTGAGACTCGGAGTCACTGCGCTTTCTGTAGCAGTTACATTTGCAGAATCCAAAGGTGTGAACCAGTAAAATGGCGGAACAGGCAAACTTGTCCAACCTGTCTCTTTTGAAACTTTTGCATCTAATCCCCTATCTCATCTATGGTCCGTGGCTAATTTTATTTAGTATGCTTTAATTTAACCCTTCGCTATGCATTGTGTGTGAATACCCGACTCCTCCCAGCTTAAGTGGCATCAGCCTGCTGACCAGTGCCACGTGACCCCATTGACTGCCTGCTCAGCTCTAATACAGTCAGTGGTCCTACCTGTCAGTCACTCTCAAAGATGAATAACCCCCAGTATTTATTGTGAAAAGATGTGGGGACAAAAAGCAAATCCACTTTTTCCTTCGCCCTTGCATCCTAACACATTAAGTTAATACATTTTTAGAAACCTAGACTCTTGGTTTTTTGTTTTTTAACTCATTTTTCATAACTCACAGAGGCAAATAGAACAACCACGTATTTCATCCTCTACAAAGCTTCACCTTACAACTACCAACCTAAAGCTAATACACCAAACTCTGGCCAACTGGTGTGTGGACTTAACTCAATTTCTGAATAGTCTGGCACCCTCCTTATCTTATGATTTCCACTCTTTCCGTCTGTCACTCACCTGTGGATCCATCTGCACCTAGAGTGGTGCTGGAGCAAGTCGACCTTCCCAAGGGCTGGAGATCTTTGCTGCAGGATAGGGTACCACCAGAAGGTTTGAAAGACTCGGAGATAAACACCCAAGCGTTGTTTGTCTTCCAGGGGATATTTTGATAGAAGATACTGGTCAGTGCAGAAAATGTCAAGGCAGCCTTGACAGCAGCTTCGAGGGGGAAATGTCCCTAACTAAAGGGCAGAGGAGAGGGGGTACAATGCAAAAGCACACAGGGCCCTTTACTCCTGGAAAAGAGAGGGCTACTCATACTTCCTTGGGGGTGGGATAGGAATAGGAAAAGTGGCAATTTTTTTATCAAGTGATGTTTTCTGAGCTGCTGCCTTCTCTTCCTCCGTTCTGGAGGACCAGCTCCTCTAATGCCTGCTTCTATACAGCTCCACAGGGGCCTAAAGAGGCAGAATAGAGCCCTGAGTTGATGAGGGATGTGGGGGTAGGAAGATCTTTAGTACAACTCAAGCAGATTAGGTTTCAGCTCCAGCCCTCACTCTCGGGGCAACCTGGCAACATCAGACAGAAAGCATGTTTATGCGTCCTTCAGGAATGAAGAATTTTCTCCATTTGCCAGCCTCTGGAAACGCTGCACAACAGCTTCTCCGGCCCCTTCAGATTCCCTTTTCTGATGAGAGTCTCCTCACTCAAGGTCAAAACCCCATTCTGGTCAACCTTCCTCCAATAACCCACAAATGTAGGATGAGAACACCCAGGCTCTCAGCCCCTGCTCAGACACCTGTAGGATTGCAGTCTTGGCTCCATAATTTTGGAAAGTTTTGCTGGGGACTTCCTCAGAACTTCTTCACAGGCCAGTTTCCTCATATGTCCAAGTCAGATTCCTCCCTTCCCTGCCCCTGCTGTCCTCTGTCATTTATTCTAAGAGGTCTCTGTCCTGAGCTTCCTAGGGAACTTCAGTCACAACCTTAAGCTCCAAGAATGAATTCCCGTTAGAGGCAGCTGTGAATAACGGATCTGAGATGGGCTGGAAAGTCTGCCTTCCTGACAGCCCCAGAGCAAGGGGAAAATGAGGCGCTGTGGCTGGTGTGCATTGCAGATTGAGTCACAAGAATGTAGGATATTATTAAATTAACAAAATAAATAAAACCCTTAACTCGGTGCCAAGTGTACGTCTATGAATTAATTTCACCAGTTTATTTAGACTCTGCCAAATAAGTAAGACAAATGGTAAGGTGTTCCTAGGTGAAGCACATGCGTGAGGGGCTGAGCCAGCAAAGTATGAGGCACTTGTTTGCAGACACCCTGAAACAAAGGAAAAAGGAGGCTTTTACCCAGCTATTTCCCGGTGTCCTCCTACAAGTTGAGTGATCACTGGCAGAAGCTAACCCTCCCGCCTTGGGGTGGTCAGTCAGAAACCCTTGACTTGACTTTACATCTTTCTTGAGCCCATCCCTCTTCTTTCTCGTGTCCACTACCTTGGGGACCTGGCTCCTACACAGACAAAATACTCTGACCAGTAGTAGTCAATAGTCCCTTTGGTGTCTACAGAATTCTTCCAAAATCATCCACAGATGTTGAAGTCTCTTATAAGAAGTGGTACAATGCTTGCCTCTAACCATTTGGACCTTCCAAATGTCTTCAATCTCTCCGTATTACGGATAACAGTCGCTACCATGCAAATGCTATGCAGCCATGATATTTAGGATAAACTAGCGAGAGGAACTCCCAACAGTTTCTTTTAACGTATTTTTTGTTTATAGTCTCTCCATGTGTCATGAGCATTCCTAGAGCCTACACTGGCCTTGAAACTTAAGCTTCTCCACCACACCCATCAGCTTTGCATATTTCTGATGCAAGATTATTGTGGATGCCTCCAGCCCACAGTACAGGACCTCTAGCAGGGCTCCCTGATTCTAATCATGAATCTGCCATTTTGAAAGCTCCCTGAAGTTTGTTTGTTTGTTTCTGAGCACAGATCTGATCAAGTCATTCCCTGCCTTACAAACCTTTTAAGAGCTCCTCTTGCCTGCAAGTTGGAGTTTTCATGCCCTCTCAACATATGATTCTCTTTTGCAGGGGTCCTTTTCCTGAAAACCTGAGCTCAGTACAAACTTCAGTCATCCTACGTTATTAAATCTCCCAACACACCATGCTTTTCCAAGCTTCTCCATGAGTGTGAGAGCTGTTCTCTCTTGTGGCATCCCTCTTTTCCTTTCTTTGTGTGCTAGTGTGAGTATGTGTACACATATAGCATCCTGAGACGATTATTAGGTACCCTCCTTAATCAGTCTCCATCTTATTTTTTGAGATAGCATCTCTACTATACCTGGAGCTCACTGATTCAGTTAGCTGGCTAATGGGCCCAATTCTGCCTCCCTAGCCCTAGGACTGCAACCATACAGCACTATGCCAGGCATTCTGCATGGGTGCCAGGGATTGAACTGGGGTCCTCGGGCTTTTGTAGCAGGAACTTTACTTACTGAATCATCTTAAATACCTTTGGGTTTCCTCTTTCTTGACTGCCCAGCAAGAAAGGGCTGGTGAGTGAGCAGAATGTTGAACCTCTAATGCAGGGGTCTCTGGGACTACCATGGCCAACAGAGTAATGGTCTTCGAGAGGCACGAAGGAAGTCTGGTTCAACATGACTGAGTAGCCAACGTTGGCTCAAACTTCAGTTCAAATGAACTGAGTAGTTCATTTTAGGCATATTTAAACATGGCACAATTTGTTGAAAACTTTCCTGGCAGTAATTAACTCAATTCCATACATACAATAAAGCATACATAGACCTATGAAGCAAGCTAAGTAAAGATCAGATAGGACTATATCAAAATTCTTTGTAAAGTATGTGTGGCACCTTCCATAAAGATGGGTTCTGTAGATTGATGGAAAAAACAAGCTTATGGTGAGGGTCTGAGGGAGGGTCCAGCGTAGTCTTGTCCACACACATAGTAAATAAATAGGTCGCCAGGCTGTTAGCCACAAGACTTCTGGGTGGATGACAGGTTATGTATTCCTTTCTTTGAAGGGACAACCTATGAGTTTGACATCCCAGGTTCCCTAGTCCTTATCTGTGAGTACAAAGACCTCCTTGCCACCACATTCTACTTAGTAGAATCAAGTCCAAATTATGATTTTAAATCTTTCTGAGACATCTAAACCTTAAGGACACCGTGCAATGCTCAGTTCTCCACTGGCAAATTTGAGAACTGTTGTGTTCTGACTTCTGCAGTGACTCAGAATTTATCTATAACCACTGCAGTGAGACATAATCCATAGGCATTTACAAGTCAGTGAATTTTTTAGCAGACTCGCAATGTTCTATAAACATCATCACAACCTAACTTTAGAACATTTCCAACACCCTTAAAAGCAATCCTAAACCTTTGGCAATCTTCTCTACTTCCTGTCTATAAATTTACCCGATCTGGACACTGCATATGAATGTAATCCTACAATGTGTGGTCTTTTGTTGACTTGCACCTTTCAGAGTTCATCTGTTTTGTGGCATACTTCAACACTTCCTTCACTGTTACTGCCAAATAATATCCATTATGTGGGCAGGCCACTTGTGCTTACCCTTGCAGTTGCTGAGGAAGGTCTGGGCTGCTGCCACTTGGCTGCCATGAATAATGCATCTGTGACCATTTGTGTGCACGTGTGTTTTTATTGTGCGGACTAGCTCTAGGGGTATATAGGTCATGTAGGGATTCTGTGTTTTGAAATGGATGCACCAGAGTCCTTTCCAATCTGTGTACATTTGGTCAATGCTTCTATATCCTCCTTATTGTCACAGTGGCTTCACAATTTCACAACATTACAGTTTTTACAGCTTCAAGAGCCTTGTGAAAGTTCCCCAACTAACCCTGAGTTTATGCACTGTCTTCAAGTCTATAGGGAAGTTAAAGATGCTGGTATACCTGGACATGTCAAAAAACAGGATAGAAACAGTTGACATGGATATTTCTGGATGTGAAGCCCTTGAGGACCTCTTACTATCATCCAATATGTTGCAACAGCTGCCTGACTCAATAGGTGAGGATGTAACATTTTGTCATGAGTAATTATGTCAAGTGTACAGTTTCTTTCTTGGCAGTATAGCTTGTTTATGCATGTAGGTAATATACTAGTAGCCTAATATTAATTAATTAGCAAATTCACCATGCAAGATCACAGAACAGTATATTACAAATACTTTAAAATGAACTGTTAACTTTAACGTCAAATCCAACTCTCTAGCAAAATGTTCCTATTAAATAGATATATCTTAAAATTGTCAACAGAACTGCACAGTGTTGCCATGAAGAGTGAGTGTTTAGAGTTAGAGGTATTTTGTGATAGTAGATGCATTGTAACATTGGTATACAGGTAAATAAAACAAAAATGTGTAAATGTAAAATAGATTCTTAGTTCCATTATTTTTTAAAAGATACATTGTCCTAAATGTGTTGTAACATGTTTGCCAGGAAAAAATTGTGAGTAGGTATAGCATGCACTAGGTCTATTTATTCATGTATTTTATAGGTAAAGTTATAAAAGACTGAATAATGAGTAGTCCTTTTATATTTTTCCTATTTTTGAGATGACTCAGCTAGGAGAATGGTCATCAATTCACTTAACTTTGAAATGGGGATTTTAACCTGTCTGGAATAGATGTGTCATGTACTCAGCAACTCGCTAACCCTTCTTCAAGCTGTCACAGACGAAGTGGCCCAGCTGAAGGGAAACTGATGACAAGGCATTCCCATGCTCCCTTCATTATTTTACCACCACCTTAGCCATTTGTTCAGGTTGATGGGGAACACGGGTTTTAACAAAATCACACAAGATTTTCCCGTAAATTTGCTGACTTTTTAATTTACATAATCACACACATCAAACTGTTTCTCCAACCATCAGGCGTAACAGAAAGCTTCATCAGACCTCTCACATTTCCCAGCTGCCTCTCGGTACAGAGCTTCTGGTACAGAGAGCGTACTGGGCTCTGCTCTGAACATTAGTCACCTTAAAGAAACTTGTGAGCAGATGGGTGTGGGAGGAGCTGGAATGTGTCGCAAACACTGAGGAGGCTTATTAGCTACAAAGAGCCTCATCTGATCAGGACAACAGAATGCACTGATTCGGAGAACACAGTTTTGACGGTGGCTGCCTTCTCAGTGCTGAGACTGTCTGCCCTGTGCTGTGCCCTCCCTAGTAAAGGAAATAATTTACTCATGCTAAGAATGACTGTTTACTTGACAAATAAAGAACTCCACAAGTACGAAGGAAAATGAAGCTAAATATGCCTGCTAAAAAAAATGAAAATGCATCCACTTAAGTAGAGATAAAAGTTATAATTTGTAAAGTACCAGAGGGAAGAAAAATTGAAAAAAAAATCCATACAGAAGATGAAAGAGAAGCAGTTAAGTAATCATAGAAAACAATGAAATTGTGTGTCATAAATCACAGCAAAATAGCAAGTATAGTTAAATAAGTCTGTTTTGTTTAAAAGAACCAGTTATTTCAGAAGACAAGTCATTCTTAATTTGGCAGGATTATTTGTTAATTTATCTTTCTTTTAAAAAAATTACCACAGAATTACCCTCCACTTGGAGTAAGGCATCCCATTCCAGTGGTAGAGAACACTGAGCTGGATATGTAGCAGCATAAGACAGACAGACGGGTCTTATTGCTCTAACACCTTTCTTCCAGTCCTAAGGGCTCTCTCAGGAAGGAAGTGACTCAGTGACACTTGTTATTCACTGAACTGTTCTTTGTGTCTTACTGAAATTTCAAGGGAAATTGTGTCTGGCTGTCTGCCCAGGGCCTGGTTATAGACCTACACAGGCCTTCCTCGAGGCCTTCCCCGGTTGGCCAACGGACATGAAACTTGGTTCTGAGTTCCAGAAAAAACTAGCTGGCTGAGAAATGGCCCCTCATCTTTCTCATTGGAATGTGGATTATCTATTGGGCCACCAGGAATTTTAAAAATAAGAGAAGAATTTAAATAGAACTAATAAAATAAAATGCAACTAAAACAAAACTTTGACCCTGTCCCACGGAGTCCTGCTACTGAGTCAGCTGACAGAGACAGACTCAATAACTGCTTTGTTCTTGGGTCCTCCTGTTTCCAAGAAGAGTAAAGGCCTCTTCTTCCTTCAGATGGTTTTAATAAAGACTTTCTTTGGATAACCAGGAAAATCACTAGAGGGGGATGTACAATGTTTTACTTTTCAAACTATGACCACTCAATAATTAGGGCAGAGACTCCACAGTCAAGTTAGCCTGAATTCAAGTTGCTTGCCTACTGTGTGACCTTCAACAGGTCACATCGTGTCTCTGTGCTCCATTCGTTCATCAATTGTGTGGGAGTAGCATTACCTCCACCGCATGCCCGTGTCGAGGAGCTTACTCGTTAATCCAAGGTGCCAAGTGTTCAGTCATTGGTAGGCCCTGTGAAAACTTAGACTTTGGGAGACAGTCGTTTGCTTTCATGGTACTAATACAATGTGTGCAAATGCCAGATAAGCATTGTCTACTGTTTAAAAAAAAAAAACAAGAGCTATTTTGATGTTTGCTGCACTCACATTAATTATGTATCTATACGAGAATATCTACAATCGCAATAGTAGTCCCCATGTGAAACTTGAACTCATCCCACAATCAGAGTCCTACTGAGGCTTGAAGTCAGTCCCAGACTAGATCCTTGGGAAATGCACGACCCGGTCTTGGTGAGTTCTTGTAAATCCACAGACTGGGGCGGCACAGAAAGGCCTAGCTCGCTTCTGCCACACCTCCCATCTGCACAGAAACACTTGCCTGAGTCGTGAAACCTGCCTCAAGTTTTTCTTAACATGACTTCACACCTGGGGCCTCAGATCTTCCGGAAGCACTCATGGTGACGTGGTGTCTGCTCGGCTCTTGGTCACCAAACCCTCAGCTTCTAGGGACTCAGCCCTCCATCAGCTGCACTAGTGGGCAGTCTGATGGAAGCTACAAACATTCTACCGTAATTCACAGCCCTGCTCATAGCAATAAACAAGCCCTGGTGTCCTTTTACGTGCCAGAGCTGATGTTTCACAACACACACGGGGAAGCTGAGATATCCTGACACCTTTTGAACAGATGGGTCAGGAGATGTTCAGGCCGGCACAATGAATTTGCACCAGGGGAATGTCCAGCTGCCTACACTCCCGTGCTGTGGGTGCTTTGCTGCAGCAGTCTGACAGCAAGGGCAGGTCCCTTCATCCGCTGATGAAGAAAATGTAACCACACTGAAATCCTAAGTCGGCTGTAGCTTTACCTCAGACTTCACGTGACTTCCTCTGGCTTTTAAAATTTTTTTGTCAGAATACTAAAATGGGCGGACCTGACCTGATGCCGGGTCTATGAGGCATGAATGTCGCAGGATGCCACACACTCACACACCAGTTTCAGGATGGCTTCAGAGGGCCGTATTTTCATATAACTTTATCAAAAAGTCCTGGAAAATTTTTATTAAAATGCTTTAATTGTCTTTAACTTAACAACCCTCAAAACATTTTGATCACGAATTTAACATTTTCCTGACAAATTTTCTACGGGACACAGTAATCTACAGCATATCTACATAGCTCCCATATAAAACAAAAGCTAGCCTAGTACTAATATTTTTGCCCTTGGGTTTGGCTATTGAGGTCACATTGATTTACAAGCTATATGATGGTGGAGAATGACAGGTGATTATGCCAAAGACAGCCATTCTCCCATTACTGTGTGGTGATTGCACATTAAAGTAATGGAAGGAGAGCACGCCATAAAAAGTGTGGAGGGCATAGATCAGACAGTGAAAATGAAAATAGTTGTGGGGCTGTGGAGACCGCTCAGTGGTTCAAGCACTAGCCAGACAACTGAGAACTGGACACCCACATAAACATGGGGATCACCCACCCACAATTCCAGCCTTCTGGAGGTGGAAACAGGATCCAGAGCAAGGCTGCCAAGACAGGTAAGTAAAACCAGCCGGCTCTTGGTAAGATAGAAATAATTGGCCTCAACAATGCAAGGATGTGTAAGGACAATCCTAGAAGACTCCAGACACCAATCGTGAGCCTCTGCATACATCCACACAACCATACAAATGCAGGCACATACACACACTGAAAGGATAGTTTTCACATTAATCCCTGACCAGTTCAATGTGAGGCATTAAAAATTGCACTGTTTTTGTGCCTAACTCTGATCAAGTCCACCATTCCTGGAGTCTCAGCACACAACTCACGTGTGGTCATTTTCCACGACTGTAATCATAAACTTTTTGTTGCAGGACTTCCCCTCCGACTTTTTGACTGCTCCACTCTTGTTGTTTACAACCGTTTCCAGTCTGTAACATGAGAAAATGAGTTATCAGTGCTTAGGAATTAATGCAATAGTAAATCTCAACTGACTCAAAATGTTCCTACTGGTCCATTTGCTGGAAAACAAGAAACAAGAGATGTGGGCATCTCTTGACAAGGGTATCGGCCCCCAGTTTGTTTACGTAGCTACTCTGATGCTATTTATGGTCATTGACGTGGGAATTTTTTACAACAAAACAGAAAGCCAGTCTCTTTGTGTGTTATATATGCAGGACATAGCCAATCGAAACATTCATTGTGGGAGATACCTCTGATTTCTTTCAATAACATTTCCTGATCTGGTGTATTAATAAAACTTGTTCTCTGTTTCAGGACTGCTGAAAAAGCTAACAACTCTAAAAGTAGATGACAATCAACTCACTATGCTACCCAATACAATCGGAAAGTAAGTGCCCACACCAGCCCAATCAGCCTGTGTGTGACCAGAAATTAAAGGTTGTACTGTCTTTTCTATCAAAACATTGCTGAAAATCCTTCCTTTAGACTGTATTTCATTCAGTCCCTGTTTGTATACATCTTAATAACTTTATATCTTGACACTGAATCCATTGCAACTATAAGACATAATGAGAAATAGTCAACTGATAACCTTTCTCTTCCCAATTTTATCCTTAGGCACTAGCCTTTCTTCACTGGGTTAAACTCAGGGGAACTGAATTCAAATTCATCTATCTCTGAAAGGCTGCAATTGGTGTCTTGTCTTTTAGTTTACATTTCTTGTACAACCGATGTCTTGGTTCTTTGAAGACAAAACTAAGAGATTTGATGAGCCAAATGTGGGCACAGAAGAATTGCTCTCTCAGCAGGAAGAGACGCCTGCTGACTTTGGTCTCCATGAGGAGCAGCTCCTGTCCATGGGTGTGGCTTCCAGCCTTTATTGGCCCCCTGTCCCCTTATGGGACAAACTGGGTTCTAAAGTCTAGTGTAATCCCAGACGTACATTGGACAAGTTCCTGTCCTAAGCTGGCAGTCCACATCCTGAGTGTAGGTTTTGTTTCAGGTCGTTAGGTACAGGACTAAGCAGGCTACACCCCTCTGCTTCCTTCCCAGAAGGCAGGTAGTACTGCACAAACTAAACCAGAGTCAGCCTTTGAGCCATCATCATCATTTACTGAAGTCCCTTGGCTTTCAAATGTGGAGAAACATGAGCTGATCAGTAGCTCAATGCAGGCATTGATACTACTATGTTCCAAAGGCCCAGACCCATGATCACCAGTCAGCTGTCAGCTTCCAGTGTCTCGGCAGGTAGTAAATAGAGCCACACAACATCTACAAATACCAACAAGGCAGAGCGGTGAGTCTTCATGGTGAAACCGCTGACTAGTGTGACATGCTGGATGCCTCAACGGCAAAAGGAAAACCTGTTCTGGGTGAAAGAAGAAACACCTCAGAGTTGGACAGGGCCAGTGCCTCCGTAAAGGAGACCTGGTACTTTGACTATAACCAACATTGCCCTCCATCACCGTGAACTGTGTAGACACAGGGATCCACTCTCCGACTACTATAACTAGTTGGACAGATGTTCTTAGGCCCAGGCATCCCCCTCTAGCGGGACTCACAAGACAATGACCAGAAAAATGAACCATGGAGAAGTCTAATTCATGGTCTGAGGGTAAAGGCGGACACCATAGAGACATGTTTTCTGAAAAGCATCCTAAGAAAAGAACCACGGCTAATTAAGAAAGTGGAGTAGCCAGAAGGCCACAGGCTCAGCCCCCTCTACTATGCTTCTCCGGCGCCACTTCCAGGCTTTCCTGGCACATTGCTCTCTCCCTACTGTGCACCCCAAGAACCCAGAGAAACACTGTCACCCACCACTACCCAGTCTAGTCCTAGACTCTCTTTCTGGTGTCAGAGTAGGGAGAATATTCAGTAGCCGCTTGTGTTGCCAGAATTCCACCATTATATAAGGAAATCAGCTTAAAGGAGGAAGTTTGTTTGGGCTCGTGCATCACCGGGTTCGGAGCTTGGTCACCTGGCTCTGTCGCTCTGCTCCTGTGACACAGCAGAACACCATGATTGGGAGAGAAAAGCAAAGCCACTTGTGATGAGAATCAGTGCGATACGGAAACTAATATATTTTATTTCCCAGAGAAAGCACTTGCACACAAGCTGGGAAGATCAGAAGTGTGGCAGACTTCCAGGAGAGAGAGCTTTTGCTTTCTCTTTCCTTTTATCCTCGCCTGTGCCTGTACCCGTGTCCACGCCCCAAAAGGGCTCACCCCTACAGCCGCTCAACTCACAGCAGCTCAGAAGCAGGATGAGAGATAGGGAGCTGGGACAAGCATCCTCTTGAATATGCCACAGGTCGATCCTCCTTCTAGAGCTTCTACCTCCTCATGATCCATCCATGTGAAAAATTCACTGACAATGTTAAGGACCCTTAAGATCCTGCTGCTTCCCAGAGCCCTGCCACTAACACACTACCCAAGAGACCCAGTCTTCAACACTTAGAGAAACATTGTGCATCCAACCCTAATGTCAACTTGATGCCTCCCTGGGATGTAACCATGTAAGCGTTGCTCCAAAACGTCCTGAAAAATCAATAGTCGGTTAGTGGTTGCTGGAGGAGGAAGAAATATTATCTTCAGTGGCATACCTTCTAGTAAGTTGTCCATACCTCCGTAATGACTGGTCATTCATGCTTCTGTAGGCATCTCTAATTAAATCCAGTGGTTCACAAGGGGGGGAGGATGAAAAGGCTCAGGCTTTATTGCTACACAGATTTTGTGCCAATTACTGGAGAAATCACCAGCTAACGTTATAAAATTACAAAAAAAAACCCTCACTTGATAAATTACATAAATACAGTTTACATTGGCCTGATTATTATACCTGACACACATCAGTCCCATCACTCTTTGTTTCTAGGCTTCCCTTTCTCTGGACTTCCAGTGAGAGGACCTTTGTCCTGACTCTTTGGTCCTGTCTCACTTGTTACCTGGAAGAGTCTCTTCTACTCTTCCTAAGACTGACTACTTGCATGCTTTAAGTCCATGCTTTTAAACTGCAACAGCTGTCACAGACACCTGGGACTCTGGTTTAATAGACAAGCTCTGGTCTAATAGGAACAACACATGAGAACCTAGAGTTCTGAACCTAGGTTTCTGTCCCACCACCCTTCAGCCCCAAATAAGCACACAGAGACATATTAATCATTAAACTATTGGCTGTTGACTTGGGCTACTTACTGGCTAGCTCTGTCTTAATTATTAACCCATAGTTACTAATCTGTGTATTTCTACATGGACTTACCTTACCCAAGAATGCCTGGCATGTCCTATCTTCCCAGTCTTTACATGGTGTCTCCTCAAGGCCCCTCTCTGCTTCTCCTCTCCCCAGAATTCTCCCGTCTCCTAGCTCCACCTATCTTCCTGCCTCTACTGGTCATTCAGTGTTTTATTTATTAGCCAATAAGAGAAATATGTATGTATGTATGTATGTATGTATGTATGTATGTATGTATTTGGACATTCCCAATCAGAATTCTGCACCATTCCCAGATGAGTTGGTGACATCATAGCTTCTGATTCACAGTCAATCCTGAGCAGCAAGATTCCAGATCTGAGTATGCCTACCACCCACATGTGATTCCCTTATGCTCTGTACCAAAATGTCTACCAGAAATGTTCTCTCTCCGCTGTGGTTGCCTTCACGGAAGTGCTGCCAAGCCTGGCTTTTTACATCCCACTTCACGCAGGTTATAATGACTTATTTTGTAGATTATCTTACTCTTTAATTCCAACTCAAAAAAAATTGTATAACAAAACTCAATTAAGGCAGTTTTTCATCCCCACTCTAAAACTGTATGAAGCTTCTAAAAATGATGGTGCCTAATTTGTTCTTGGTAAACTGTTTCTCTGAGTTCTCTGTGGGTCTATGCTTGTTGTTAAGAGGTTGAGGGTATCAAGCTGAAAGGGGGGGTAATGGATGTGTCTTTCTATTTAGAACTCTAATGTTCTGACTTTTTACTAATTGCCTTGACTTGGAATGAAAATGCGAAGTGAAAAATGGGGAAATTATGCAACTGAAATGGGTGCCAGGTTATCACATACTTAATTTTCTTTTGCTGAAATTGGTAACTCTTAAAAGTAGGAAAGATACTTTTCAAATATAAATGGAACCAATTAATTCAAAGGTTTATGGCTGACTTATAGGGGTAAAAGTTGGAAATTCCATCACAATAATTCATTTTCAGAGATTTTTAGTGTTATTGTCTTTCTTTGTTGTTCTGGGAAAGAAATAAGGGAAGTGTTAGTAGATTAGACAAACTCTTCTAAAAACTCACTTGAAAATCAGTAGTGAATATAAAGGAAATAAAACAATGTTACTCCTACTAGGCTTGGGGTTTTAGTTTTATTGTAGGTTGGTTTATTTGGTTCAGGGTAGTGTGCTTCGTTTGCATGTAAACGTAATGAAGGGTTGGAGAACTGGCTCAGCCAGTAAAGCGACTGCCACTCAAGCATGAGAACCTGGCCTCATCATCCACGAGAAAAATGTTCTGTTTCCACTTGGGAATGTAGTGACAATGTTATCTCTTCAACTGCTTGGAGCAATAGCCCAGCTGAGGTGACTTAAACAACAGACATGCATTTTGATGTTTCTAGAGTTTGGACCCAGCAAGACAGCCTTTATCAGAGTGTAGAGATGTGCCCTCATCCGTCTTACGGCTGTATCCAGTCTCATTGCCTCCCAAAGGTTCCATGTCTCAATCCCATGACATGGGGTGGGTCGGGACATCAGCACATGAGTTTTGGAAGAAAATAATATTCAATCTACATTGTCTTACGTACCTACTGCTGGGATTGAAGCCACCATGCCCAGCTCTTTTATACGGGCGTTGGAGATCCACAGTCAGGTCCTCATATTTGGTCAGCAGGAACTTTACCCACTGTCCATCTCCTCAGTCATCCAGGTTTCTATAGAGGCCTCAGGGATAAACTGTTCAGTCATAGAGCAACCATGATTACAGGGGCATGAGTTCTACTGCTGTGTGGACATCACAGAGGCACTTCCCTCCACAAGTGCAACAGTGAACTTTGGGAGACGCTGAAAGAATACCCTCCAAAATACTGACAAAAAAAAACGCATAACCTAGTAAACACTTCGCACAGTGGGGCTGCTTGCTGCCCTTAATCGGGGGTGTCTGCGGCACAACCTTGCATGTGTTGCATTCTGTGTGACTGGCAGCACAGTGGGCCTGCCTGCATCAGCACCACCGCACACCCAACACCCAAGTGCAGAGCCACACTATGTGCTAGCGTGTCACCAAGCAAGCAGGCTTCTGCTTTGTTTTGTTGTTTATTTTGCTTTGTTGTTCCATTTGTTTTGTGGGCTAAGGACCAGTCGCGTGACTTCACGCATGCCAGGCAGGCGTCTGCTCTC